TCGCCGTTTTCTACAGCGCCTTTGCGTACCGTCCAGCTATGCGCGTCGAATCCTGTGGGATGGACGCATGCATCGTAATGCGGCATCAAACTATCTGCAAACTCTTAGAGCGCACATATCTATGTCTGTATCTCCAGTATCAGAAACTCGAATCGCCAAACTCTCGACGATGCACTCTTCTCGAGGGGAGCCGCCATGCCGTTGGTTTTCGGGTCGGCGAAGTCTTGCCGATGATTTTGATAGTTCTGATTCAATGTGGGCGATGTGATACTTGGTAAAGGTTTCCACAATGGATTAGTTTATTGAAGTACTCTACTCATGAACCTTGAAATGAGTTAACGCCGTAGTAGGTGTCCGCGCGCTGCGCCGAGCTTGACACAGACAGGCGGCCTTGAGGCCTCCCACGTCGAGTCAAATGCCTTTCTTTGGTATTGGAAAATGATTATCCAGATCTGCCTTAATTAACCAAGAACGAGACCCTCTTCCTCCCCTTGCTTGTCCCCCCCCCCCCCCCTGTCCGACAAGACTTAATTAGTCCCCCCTTCCATATGTAACCCCTTCCCGGGCTAAGCGAGAAACATCATCGAGGCGGCGACCCTCAGACTGTTTACTGGTATCTTTTCAAGCATACACACACAGACCTTGCAAAAGGGGTTTTTTCCTGATTCTTTCTTTAAAGTTTCAAAATCACAGGATCAGACGGGATTTCCTGGACCTATCGATTAATCAATTGTTGCCTGCCTATCCTTTCGAACTCGGCTCTGGGATAGCTTGCACACAATCGCCTTTGTTTTGTTCCTTGGTCTGTCTGTCTTGCCTTGATAGGATACAGAAAGTCTCGTCTCAAAACAACCCAACAAGGGATTGCTTTCTCTCTCTCTCCTTCTCCCTCGACCCGACCGGCCCAGAAAGAAGTAAAGAAAGATAGATAGAAAGAAAACAGCAGAGGCCAATCGATGGCTGGGCTTGATCAACGTGAGGGAAAAAAGGACGAGTTTTGATTTTGCCACATACATAGGTAGTAGGTAGGTAGGTAGGTAGGTAGTACCAGAAAGAAAGAAAGAAAAAAAAGTGGGGATCATAGCAGCTCTCGTTTCTTTTCAAAGAAAGAAGGAGAGGAAAGGGATTCGAAAAGTTTCAGAATGGCTTTGCTTATATCGATACAAGATGAGCCTGTATCTACTTACTACCTCTCTCTATATACTCTTTCCATAAAAATCAACCACACGTACCTCTTTTCGCAATTTCCAAAGAAAAAAAAAGCCTGCAGACTAAACAGTCCAGACACCAGATATCCCTGATTCATCAATTTCCACCACCACCACCACCACCTCTCAACCATCCAGCCCATTCAGCCGACAAAAATCACCCGGATGTGCTACCACAAGCGCACCCTCTACAGCCCCTGCGGCCACGCCTCCTGGGGCCGCCAAGTCCTCGCCTGCCCCCTCCAAGACAACTTCCTGGACGGAGAGGCCGGCCTCGCGCAGCCCTGCGACACCATGAACGCGCACCCGCTGCACTCGGTGAGGGTCGAGATGGCGTGTCCCGGGTGCGGCAAGAAGCAGCGCCGGGCGCGGGCCACTTTTGAGCAGATTCGGAACGAGCTGAAAGGGGCAAGGGAGAAGCTGGCGCGGCACCGGAAGAGTGTTGCTGGTGGTGGCCGGGGAGGAGGACATGAGAAGCAGCAGGGGGGGGAGGAGGGTGATAGGGGAGAGAGGGAGAAGCTGGCTGGCAGGACTGGTGAAGAGGAAGAAGGAGAAGAAGAAGAGGGGTTCATGGAGGTGAGGTGGGAGGAGCATGCTGCTTCGGATGGTGTTGATGATGGCGAGTTCGATCCGATTGAGCTGTATAGGCGGTAAGCACTTTCTTGGATTGAGGTGGTCTTGCTTAGACAGACAGGTCTGGAGAAGCAAGAAAAGATATCAATTTTTTCTAGGAGCGGCTTGAAGTGACGTGATGATTGTGAAAATTTTCTCTAGACAAAGATTTGTTTCTTGATTCTTGACTCTTGACAGCCTGGAGATACTCGTGGCTAGCGGACTTGATTTGTCTGGACTAGGTGTCAAAAGATGGATCTCCTCGTATTTACATCTAACGCTCCTAGACGAATCGAGGATACCGGGTCCAAAAATATCTTAGTGGTCGTACTGGTCACCTCTGGGGAAAGCATGACCCAGAGAGTAATGCGCTCTCGGCGATAGAAACTTGGGTCGAGTATGTGGGCTTGTTGCCTTGGACTTCCTTTCAACGCTCGGTCGTAATTAATCGAAGTGCCTTCTATTCACCTTTTAGTATGAATAAGGACGGCTCTTAAACTCGGGGTCCTCCTCTGGTTTCCCCGGTACAGGGACATCCACAAATCTCGGCTCCAGGTACCACGCCGCATCGCCGCCGTCGGGCATCTGAGTAAGACTCCACCCGTTCCCCAGCCAGCGCAGCCTATTCTCATTCTTGCTCTCAAATTCAAAATCTTCCCATCTCGGACTTCTCAACGTCTCCAAGCAGTGCAGCGTGCTCCCCGGCCACAACCCTGTGACCCTATCCCCATTCCCACCCTCGCTTCGGTACCAGGAGTTGCACTCGTCCATGTAGACGGTATTCTTGAAGTACTCATGACAGTATTCCGAAAAGTCTGCTACACGATCTGCTTTAGGCATCATAGAGGCGTAGTCGTCCCTCTGTAATTTGCGCAGACATTTGATGATGTAGTCGCCTTCGGTCTCGATCATCATCGTGAGAGAGCCAGTCCCTATAGCCGAGTTCGGTCCTAACATCATAAAGAAGTTGGGAAAGCCATCAACGGAAATAGTCAAGTATGTCTCCGGGAATGGAGAGAACTTATCCCGAAGGCTGATCCCACCTTTTCCTTCGACGTGAAAAGGAGGTTGCGACGAGGTGTTAAATCCAGTTGCACAAACCAGAACGTCAACGTTAACCCTCCGACCGTTCTCGAGGATGATTCCTTCTGGTCTGATGGAAGCTATTCTATCGGAGACGAATTCTACGTTATCCTCGACTAATGCCTCGAGATAGCCAGGCCCTGGAGTCAGCCGCCGGCAGCCGACAGCAAAGGAAGGAACCAGTGCATCCAGAATCTCCGGTTTCTTTGCAAGACGGTCCGCCATCATGGTCCGGAAATATTTCATGGCTTGGTTCTGCTTTTCGGATCCTCTGAAGCTCACAGCGTGAATTGTGTTGCCATCAGTTTCAATGACTTTGCGGAACTCGAGCAATTTTTCCGGATTCTCCGCAAACTCTTTTCTTCTCTCTTCGGAGACTATGGGGAATCAGCTTGTGTTAAAAACTGGTCTTCATGGATGCCAGACTTACAGTTGAGGTCATGCGGATCAATTCCAAGCTTCTTCATTGCATCTAGCAAGACTTAGCCAAGTCCACAATTTTCACCAGTCACTTACCGTCACCGAATGGATTTGAGATCCATGTCCTGCTTCGGACGAAGCAGGACATCTGAACCCCCTCGACCTTCTGTAATATGGGTACGATCTGGATGGAGCTTGAGCCGCCACCTATCACACCGACCTTTTTGTTCTTAAAATCGTAGCTATCGAATATCAGCTCAAACGCCCGGGGAGCCAGACACCCAGAAGGATGACAAACCTCTGATTCCACGCAGCAGAATGCATGACCTCGCCTGTGAAGCTGCCGAGTCCAGGTATTTTCGGCCAGGCGATCTCGTTCAAGCCCCCTCGAGCCGAGATCAAAACATCTGCATCGTCTTGGAAAGTCTCTCCCGTGGCAAGGTTTTGGACGGCAATATTCCTGGACAGTATCAACACCTATGTTCGACAACACGCTCTGAGAAAACTCACCACTTCTTCGCCTCATGGTCCCATCTACAGCTCTCCACTCGATGAGACAACTTTACAAATCTCGTGACCCCAAACTTCTCAGCGACACCACTCAGATAAGTCCAGATCTCCTTCGCGGGAGCGTAGAACGCAGACCAGTTGGGATTCGGATCGAAAGAGTACTGGTAGCTGTGAGACGGAATGTCACACGCGCAACCTGCAAGTTGATGTTGTCAGCTTTCGTGTCGTCAGAGATAATCAACAACAACAACAACAACAACAGCAGCAGCAGCAGCATCGCAATCACAATCACAATCACTCACCTGGATATCTATTCTCCCACCACGTTCCGCCTAGCCCTTCATTCTTCTCGTAGATCTGCAGATCCACATTCCGCAGACGCTGCGGGATGCGAATGCCCAAATAGATCCCCGAATAGCCAGCTCCTATGACCCGGACCTTCAGTCGCCGCTGATTCTCAACCGGCTCGTCTTTGAGCGAGAAGGTAATGGCTGATCGCATGTTTGATTGCTGACTTTCCGACTTTCGCAGCCATGTGATGTAGCTGGAGTATGAACAGCAGAAATTGAGGGGAGGGGAGTGAGTCCCTTTTCAAGGATACAGCCATGGCCACGGCCTCTATTCCGTCCACCACGGCTTTGAGGTATTCCCGGGGATCGCCCCCATCTCCTCCCCGATCTCATAAACATATTTCAAGCTGCGATTTATCCTTCAAGGGGCGGGGGATCGGGCAGTTCATGCGCGATGAGGCTATTATATGCTTGCGTACGGCAGACCGGTCTCCTCTCGATCGGAATCCCCCCTAAGTACATTGTTAGAAGCACGAAATGTGCAAAGAGGCAAACATATCTCGAGGAGGATTTCCGAACTTACCAACCAGCGCGCACACGCAATTGATAAACGGGTAAATACATCATGCCAAGCAGGCAAATTCTCTCGTCTGCAGCCTCGATCATAGGATCCGAGGAGGTGAGCAAGCAGACTTACTTCCCGAAAGGCGTTCCCGAAAATCCTTGGATCATGGATGGCTTCGTACCAGCAACACTCTGCCTTCCAATCGCAAAGAATGCTACCATCCCATCCGATCGATCAGCTAGTTATATTCATGTCAACACGCGACGGTCGAAATCCACTCATGAACCCCGCCCCCCCCCCCATCTTAGATCCTCCTCAGCATTTAAGATTCCAAATGAAACACTTTGAATTCCAGGAACCTAACACTACTTACCTACTACCTATCACGAGACAGGTGCGCCAGAGATAGGTATATAGATCTCGGAAAACCCTCCACGGTATCCGCACGTTGTTTCCGGGAGTTCTACATACCTCCCAGCCACCCCCTCATTCGATAGTTAACAAGGTTCCGCATCCCATCCCATCTCTTCTTCTTCACAGGGCCGAGATGAAAACGTGCTGAAGAGCCGACTTTTGTTATCGGGCCCTTTGCTTTTTCGAATGTGACCACAGTGGTGGATGGATGTCTGGAGCATGGGGAGTGCCCGTTTGGCATCTGGAGGAAGTGGCCAGAGAGATGGATGTGAGGAATATCTCAGATAGAATTCGCAGTGAATATCCAGTAAGCGAGAACTCCTCAGAACTCTGTATGCATGATTATTTTGAAAGATCGAACCCTATCGGATGAGGAGAGTTATTTCCCAAAAATTCAGACGGAAAATACAATGGAATGGAATACATAGCCAACGTGTTGTACTACTGTAAGAAACTCTTTTTTTTTTTTGAAAAAAAAAGGCACTTTTTCTATTCTGATATCAACCAGCACCAGCCGTGATGCCCTTTAGATTAACCACTCACTGGATCCGTTGGAAGTGGCAACTTGCGATGAAGACGAGCCATAATCTCCGCATAGTGTCTCTCCTCCTCGGGCTTGATGATGCCATGTCGAATGAAAAAATCAATCATCACCAAGGCGCTGTTTGTCTTGAACTCCGCCTTTCTAAGACCATCCTTTACCTCCTCGATACTCATCAGACTGAATTCTTTCACCTCATCATCGTTCTGCTCGCATGTGATACCTTCCGGTAGCTCGAGGTCGTAAACGTAGATCAGGTCGGAACATATTAACCCCTGCTCACCAGCGCCACGAGCATCTGATAGTCCGACGTAGGTGATGCATCCGCATGCCTTGGTTTCCTTTCGTACCAGATCCTCCGGCAGGGAAGCCTCCTCGTCTGCTTCGCGTACAATGCACTCAAACGGTCCTTCGCCGGCAGCAACGCCACCTGCAACAGTCGTATCAAGGCAGTTAGGATATGTGAACAGATGCTCTGAGCGTCTGGGGACCCATATCTTCATGCCCTCAGCAGTCTTCGAGTATACTGTCATATGGGCGCCACGTGACACAAATCCAAATAGGTTGCCCGAATACCGCTCGAAAGAAACCGGGACTTTGTATCCGATTACTGGATAGGGCTCGCTGTGCATCTTATGGATAATTTGAAAGTTGTCCTGGTCGATACTTCTTTGGATGAGGTGGGAGAAGGCGTGGGTGCATGCGTCCGACAGGTGATCTTTGTCTTCGGGATCAAGACATACGGATCTGGCGTCATGATCGACTCGAAAATCCTTGGTCCATGGCATCTTCTTGACGATTTCAGGAAGCATGAGTCCGTGTGGTCGCGGGTCTTCGGGCATGTAGAAGCGGTACAGGGTCGACCAGTGGTCGCAAGGCCCTTTACCCGGCTCATCATAGGGAAAGCTATCAGAGGTTGTCAGGATATGTTGGCACTCTAGGACAAAGCAGGGAACGATTACCTGTCACAGTCGTTGACAAGGTCCAAGTAGCTTTTGGTAAGAGTGGCCATTTTGCGCGAATCTGAGACGACGCACGCCGGTTTTCGGGGCAGTTCCTGGATCCAAAATTCTGCTGTCGCAAGCTCCAAAGCTGGCCTTGTGGCCTTCTCAGCTGGTGGGGGTGAGAGCGCTGTCTTTGAAATTGTGAAAAGGTCGTGTGTTCCAAACAGAAGGTGAGGCTGAATAGGTAAGATTGAAAATAGCGCTCTCGTCTAATATTTAGCGTGTAGCCCGATTAGGTATCTTAACCTATCACATGATCAGTTGGTTCTTGTTCGGTTTCTATTCTTGCCTCTCCGAATATTCTCTATGAAGCCTCCTCACGGTTATTGCCGCAGGCTTGGGATGGAGCACCGAGCTCAAATGGACGTGAGTTAGCAAGGTTTAGGCAATGATGATCCCACACTTGCAGATGCGAGTATCCTCTCGGGTTTAGGCGGCAGAACGCCTTAAATACACTCCAGCTCCGTGGAGATCTAGACTTGAACAGGTTTAAATGTTCTAGAGAGTATGACTGGGATCTAGCTTTTTCAAAAGGTGCTCAACAGATGGGAAACCAGCAAAGGCAAGGTGTGGCACATATTGCAGGTGAGACTTCGTAGAGATAGTCCAGGCTCCAGCTACAGCAAGCTCGAATTGCATTTTCAAGTTACACGACTCGTCGGCCAGGCCGCGGTCAAACCTACACAGCCATATTAGACATTGACGGAGTGCCTTCAAAGCCACACATAAACTTCAAGGCATGACGACCTTCTAATGCCCTCGTCGGATATTGACTTGTTGGACTGGCAGAAAACTATCCCAGTTCACCAGTGTTGTATTACGAAGATGGTACTTTGAGGGGCCTCCAAATCAAGTGAGACAACATCATAAGCAGCATATGAGCAACTGAATAGTAGTTGCTAGCCTTCGATATTCACATGTTCTTGGTAGATATGAAGTCGCGACTCATAACAAGACAATCAGACTTCTGGCAACGATATGATCACAAAATCTGATCGTTGAAGACATCAAGGGATTGAGGGTTTGAGGTTACTATGGCACAGAAGGTTTATAAACAACAGGGGTGACAAAAGAGACGTGTTTCCGCTCGAATCATTTTCAACCTATTGCGCCTTGGACTGAATGATCTCTGTTCAATTTGTTAGTGGGTGAAGCTATTCCAAATCCAATATTGACTCACTCTCAACGTCCGTCACGCTCTGTTGCAGGATTTGTTGAAGAATCTTGGGGTTCTCAAGCTCTTTTTGGATCTTTGCAATAATAGACTCCGACAACTCCTTCTGTTGACGGATTTTGACCTGTCCCTCGTATCTAACCCACGAATCCAGGACAGCCTTGGCCTCAGCAGCAAGGGCGGTGGTTTGCTCGAGCTCGTACGCCTTAGCTTCGAGTTGAGCGGTTTCCTGCCTATCGTGAGCTCATCTATCCATTTATTCACGTGCATCTGCTGCGAACCTTGGAAACCTCAAAGAGAGTCTTGGTGATATCAACCACGCTTCCCAGTTGTTGGACACTCTCAATTCTGGTCTTCACGGCCTCGGTGTGATCGGCCCGAGCAGCGTTCAAGATGTCCTTAATTTTGTTGACCTGTCCATCCGCCCACTCCTTGTACAGGGGTCCACCATACTTGAAGACTGCGGTCCAGATGCTCAACAAGCAGATCGCGACAATTGTCTCCTCGTTAACGACATAGTATTCGTTGCTGATGGCGTAAATCGAGGCAAAGGCTGTGGACGAAAGGATCGCGGTCTTGGAGATCAACGAGTTTCCTGGTAGCGAATCGAGCAGAGATTGAGCCTTTTTCTTGGGATCCTCCGCTGGGACAGTCGATGACGATCGGTAGCTCGTGAGGGATGTGGTGATCGCTGGGAGGGTACGTGGGGAGAAAGCTGGTCGGAGACGAGCAGCGCCTGGTGCGGTCAGTCAACCAGCCGAGCTCCAATTGCCTCTAAAGCATCTGCCACATAGTCAATTACATACCTGCAGCGCTTCTGGCTAGACGTGATGCCATTGTGGGATAAGGGGAGTTGATGGACAGCTTTTGTGGTTAGCTGGAAGGATTGATTGAACTGTCGTCGGGGTTTAGCTTCATTGCTGGCCTGCAAACGCGATTGCCCCACTTAAGGCTGCGCTAAAAAAAATTACGGAATGATTTTCTATGAGATGGGGTCCATTGACTCGTAGGAGGAAGAACGTAATCCTGCAACGCCCAAATGCCAGCAACCATTCCCGGATCAAGCCAATCTGGCAAAAGGAAACGGACTTCATCTGAAAAATATCGTTCAAAACGAGCGCGATCTGAGAGCCCTGGTAGCAGCGAGGAGGAGGGGGAGGAAGAGGAGGAAGATGGCCAGGCGCAAATTCTCCTACTGGCCGAGGAAATTTTCGAGTCGAAGAAGAACTACAATAATATCACGAAGCTAATACAGATATTGGGAGAGGATAGTGAAGAGGCGGATGACTCGGTGCTTGCAGCAGTCTCATTATGCCGAGTCTTCACACGGTTAATGGTGTCTGGGGACATGACTGCGAAGAAAGGCGCAACCGAGAAGGATACTGTGGTGATCAAGTGGCTGAAGGAGAGATATTTGGAGTATAAGTCCGGGCTATTGTTGTTTCTTGGGGAGGAGGGGATCTCGTCGACGGCATTGGATATCTGCATGCGGCTATTGAAGACTGAGGGACAGCACCTTCGAGGGTTGGAATACAAATTCCCCACAACGTTTCTCGCGGATATGGTGCGAGTCTTACTGGATCCAGAAAGTGATGCAAGCACGAGGAAAGAATTCAGCGAGAAGTTTGTTGAGGAATACGACGACATTCGCTTCTATACTTTGGAGGCACTCGAGTAAGCTAAACATATCATACGAGCGCGCTTTGCTAAGAAGATCGCAGGAAAATCTTGAGCGAAACCGACTCCCAGGAATTGTTCAACAATGCTCTAGATATCCTGACTGCCATAGAATCTGTCCCCGAGTCGACAGAAGAATTGGAAGATTTCTACGTACCCGCACCTACGAAGACAAACCATGCCTTATATTCTCTCACTCAACATAAGAAGCGAGCGCAAGGAGCCTGGCTAGCTTTGATGAACTTGGAAATGGACAAGGACCAGCGGAAATCCATATTGGGACTCATGGCCAAATCTATCGCACCATGGTTCATGAAGCCAGAGCTGCTGATGGATTTCTTGACAGACTCGTACAACTCGGGTGGATCCACGTCCCTTCTCGCCCTATCTGGGGTGTTTTATCTTCTTCAAGAGAGAAACCTGGACTACCCTTCCTTTTATCGAAAACTGTACTCTCTATTGGACTCGGAAATCCTGCACTCGAAACATCGATCAAGGTTTTTCCGACTCCTAGAAACTTTCCTTGGATCTACGCATCTTCCAGCCGTGCTTGTTGCCAGCTTCTTGAAAAGGCTTGCCCGTCTGACGTTGAATGCGCCACCAGCAGCTGTCGTGACGATTGTGCCTTGGCTATACAATGTGCTGAAGAAGCACCCAATGTGTACATTCATGATCCATCGGGTGACGAGGACACAAGAGGCGAGAAACATACTGGAAAGCGAAGGAATGGACGATCCATTTCTGATGGACGAAGAGGACCCAATGGAGACAAAAGCAATCGACAGCAGTTTATGGGAGATAGTGATGCTTCAATCACACTATCATCCCAACGTTGCGACATTGGCGAAGATAATTTCGGAGCAATTCACCAAGCAGTCCTACAATATGGAGGACTTTTTAGACCACTCCTATGGAAGTGTAAGCATACCTGTACTCATGATGAACCCCAAATGCTGATAGATCATAGATGCTTGATGCAGAGTACGTGAAGGATGTCAAGAAGACACCTGTAGTAGAGTTCGAGATACCCAAGAAGATCTTTATGAGGCAGGATGCTTCGTCGGAGGTTAGTGACCGATTGTTGGTGGTCCTTTGGGATTGCAGCTAGACTTCAATTGAAACCCGTCGTCGACGTATATGTTGGAAAGCTGTGACTTGTAAATTGTGCGATACTCTGGCTTCTCGAAAGACCTCGGACCTCTTCAGGTCAACCGCGTCAACAGCTCTAGCGAGCGGGGTCGAGATTTCCCATCTCTCATGCAAGCAAGGTCCAAGACCACCTCTTATTCGTAGTACGAAGCTTGACTTGATCAACCAAGCCTGGATGTCGCTTGCATGTCAAGGCCAAGGTCAGCAACTGCTATCAAGTCTAATAAAGTCCCAAATACTCTGTGAAGAAGCAAAGGCCCCGGTGCGACTACCCCGAATGCTTACCACAAGCTTGCGTAGCTGCAAGCCGCCGAATCTCCTAGCTGACAGTATAAAACGACAAAGGAGCGCTCATTCAATCGACCACTCTGTCAGTCATTACTTATTGCAAGCCAACTCCCTCCCTACACCTACCTACCTATACATACAATACAACAAACACTCTGCTCCCCCCCTCTACCAATAACAGGTTATTGCAAACAGCCACACGCTCTACAAGCTACCAAGATGCCGATTCGAGATATGCTCAGGAAGAAGGCGAAAGTCGAGAATCACGATGTGCCGGCTCCAGTTGCTGATTCAGACGCACTTCCACACTTCACGTTTATGCGCTCAGACACCTACACCCAAGAAGTGATCAACCCGCCGAACTTTCCCTCGGAAGACTCGTTTGGACCGTCCTCCTTTACAGACGGACAGTCCGAATCCAGAACCAGCCGCCTCTTCGGAGGCCGCTCTCGGAGTGCCTCGAACAGCTCGCAGAATTCAGCCATATCCTCCAAATCCAAGAGCGCGAATCCGTCGCGGCTATCGCAGCGCCTGCATTTCAAGAAGAGCGAGCAGAAATCTGACAGCGTACCTGCTGATCTGCCAGAGATCTATGTGCCACCCGGAGACGAGCAAGATGGGGGGGAAGTGCGCGAATCGCAGTGGGAGAAGAGGGCGACGATCCTGGCTCAGAAGAACGAGATGTCGAGAAGCAGGCCTACCACGCCCGTCGGAAGCTCTGCAGCCGATCTGCGCTCGTTCCAGGACTTGAATATCAGTGGGGGCTCGAAGGAGGAGGCAGTCGTAGCTACCAAGCAGACGGATGATAACATACAAGAGGCTATCCGGCTTCATGAGGCGGGGGAGTTGGAGACGTCTACCCAAATGTTTGGTCGCTTGGCTGACCCCACTGGGGAGAATAATGCGTTAAGCCAGGTGCTGTACGGTCTTGCGTTGCGGTATGTTCAGTTAGCCATTGTACATGTAATAGTCATCACTCCAACGGCCGAGACCACTGTATTTCCAGAGGAGTGCCTATCGCGGTCCGATCAATTCTGATGTCTCTCATTCTTTAGGCACGGCTGGGGATGCACTCCGAATGCAGCTGAAGCTGTCAACTACCTCTCGGCGGCCGCATCAAACGCGGCGTCCATAGAGGAACTGGCGCTGAAGGCAGGTATGAAGAAAGGAGGTGCAGCTAAAGGGGAACTGGTTCTCGCTATCTTCGAGCTGGCCAACTGTTTTCGGCATGGTTGGGGAGTCCAGGTCGACAAACTCGCCGCCAAACAGGTGAGGAGGTTCTCAAGCAATGGATGGGGGAGCAGCCTTCCAGCTGACATGCCGGGGCCAGTACTACGAAACTGCTGCCAACCTGGGCGACACTGGTATGTGCTTCACTCGGGCCTCAATTTCGCGGTGCAGGTCTGACGATGCGACAGATGCTATGAACGAAGTCGGCTGGTGCTATGTCGAGGGATTTGGCTGCAAAAAAGACAAGGTACGATCTTCTCACTCAGAGTATTCCGGAATCTGCCCCTGTGCTAGCGAGCTCTTGTGAATAGCTTCATGGGCTCATAGCCATTGAGAAGCACCAGCCTCGCAGTCGTCAGTGTGGCTTGGTGCGCATTTGCACGTTGCACCATGACTGCATTTGGGCAGCAACGGGGCTGTCTACTCCTGTCTCTCTTCCTTCTGCGTATCATGTATCATCATCCACCACTCAGATCCGGTGAGGCTCACATATCCACGGCAGTTCGCCGCCGCCAAATACTACAGGCTCGCGGAGCAGGGAGGCAGCAAGACCTTGGGCAATTCTTGGTACGTCACGTCGGCTCACCTCCTCTCTCTTCTCTCCCCCACGACCGCCGACTCGTCATGGGCATTCTGGTTCATTATTTTGTTCTTGCGCAGCCATACGGAACACAGCTCTTTTCCAGAGTCATGGCGTGTCCTGCGTTGCCTGCAGCAACGTCTTACTTCGACCTGCAGCGCCACGGCCCGGTGGGTGCAGTGTTCGTTCCAGATGATAGGCCCAGCCGCCTCCTCCTCAACCCAACTATCCCTCCAAACCCAAACCTAAACCACGTTTCCCATACCAAGCCCGGCCACTGCTACATCATGTATGATTGTTTGGGAATCGACTAACCGAGAGACGAATAGGATCTGGAAGGAGAAGTACGACCCGGGCTATACAGGGAAGAAGTGAGACCTGGCGCACATTTCTTTCTTTTTTTTCTTTTTCTTTTTGGTCGCATGGCGCGGCGCTGCAAAACGACCGCCGTGGGGAAGGTTGGGCTCGGGAATTTTCTATCTGTGGCTAGGGACCTTTGACTTGACGTCTTGCGTAAGGGGGGCGAGGGGGGGAGTTAGTTTTTTCGATCCGGGTCGAGACTCTGAATAGCACAGGACTGCAGGCCGGTAAGCAGGTAAGGTAGGGGCAAAAGCGGAGATTCGAGTCGAGGAGAGGAGGGTCTAGACTTCTTCCTTGCTCAGGCTCGATCCAAAAACACCAGGAGATGTGCAGTCTACCTATACGATGCGATCGATGATACGATCGATGATACATTACATACATTACTGCCATACAGACATACATTACATCCATACATCCATACATCCATCCATACCCATTTCCCATTACCGAGACATGCGTTGGAGCTAGGTGCTGCCGTCCCAGGATGGATGATCCGAACTCTGCAAGCAGTCTGCAGACAGAGAGAAATATCCATACTGTAGTGTGTTTGGTTGATTGTCACGTCTTGTCGCCGTGCTCTCTCCGCTTACTGGTGTCTGGCTGTCTGGCTGTCTGGCTGTCTGGCTGTCTGATCTGAAGTAAGTAGGTAGGTAGGTAGGTAGGTAAATTAATAAATTAATAAATTAATAAATTAATAAGTAAGTAAGTAAGTAAGTAAATAAATAGGTGGTCAGGTAAGTAGGTACGCTATCAGCCACATTTCCTTCCTTCCTTCCTTCCTTCCTTTCTCTCTCTCTCTCACGAACGCACGCGCGCACGTCCTCCTCGCAGAGTCGCAGGCGATTAGGTATCTATCTGCCTGTTTTGAAGGTTTGGGTTGGATTTGATGGGTGTTTGTGTGTATATGTATATGTATATATGTGTGTGTATCTCTATATAAACATCGATTCAAAAACCGTAGACTAATTAAGTGATCAAGTTGATCAATCGATCAACCAATCGATCAATTAATCAATCAATTAATCAATCAACGAAGCCACACCCTTTCCATTCTATTCCATTCCGTTAACCGAACGAACGAAAGACTTTTTAAATCTTTTAAATCTTTTAAATCTTTTAAATCTTTTAAATCTTTTAAATCTTTTAAATCTTTTAAATCTTTTAAATCTTTTAAATCTTTTAAATCTTTTAAATCTTTTAATTTTTTAATTTTAATTTTTTA